GGAAGATTGGGGTCAGTAAAGGAGTTTTGCCAATTCCCTGAAAACAATCTGTCTCTATTCCTCTGGGCCCAGCTTATTGTCCATCTGTTCTGTCTGCTTCAGATGTACATTTCTAGGGACAAGCTCTACAAGAAGCTCATTCAAAATCATATTGAAATCCCACCTTCTACAGGAAGCCTTTCCTGATCTCTTTGAATTCTAGTGTCTTCCCTCTGTTGACTACTTCCATTTTATCCTGTATATAGCTTATCTGTGCAGAGATGTTTGCAAGTTGCCTCTCCCTGAGGGCAGGGACTGTCTCTTACCTTTCTTTGTATCTCCAGTACTGACTCAGCACATTGCCTGGCATATAATAGGATAGCACTTCTTAAATGTTTATTGACTAAGTGACTGAAATCTAGTCCAAGAAACAACTTCAGCAAAACATTTCAAAAAATGCAGAGGTAAAGAAAATCTAAAAAGAAGTGCAGGAAAAGACACAAACAGAACAATTTTTTACTACTTTGTTAAATTTAATGTAAATGCATTTAAAAACTGTACATAATGGAAACTCACAGTTCAAATATAATCATCATTCCTGTTCTTCCTATATTGAAATGATTGTATATTTTGATGATTTTTTCTTTTGCATTTTATTATTTATTTATTTTAACATTCTTTTCTTTTTAAATTTTGAGTTCCCAATTCTTTCCCTCCCTTCTAACCTTTCCCTCATCCACTGAGAAGGCAAACACTATATCAGTTATACATGTGGACTCATGCAAAACATATTTCCATATTAGCTAAATTGCAAAAAAAAAAAAAAAGGAAATTTACTTCAATTTGCACTAAGAGTTTGTTATAAAAACTCCAGATTCAATTCAGAATTCAGACCGAGACTGGGCTCAGTGAATTCCCTGAACAAGAGTTAGCAGGGTCATAAGGAAATGACAGTTGTGGAGTGAGAGGTGCCTTTATTAGCAATTCTCTTGAGAACTGGGTGTGTTCCCTCACTGGAATCGCATACCTATACAGGAGCAGAGCAAGGGGTTATATAGGATTACTTGGCTTTAACCCCCAACTTGTCCCACCATTCCTGCGGGGTCCATTTGACATCTGTGTTTGCAATGCAATATCTATTGTTTCTATAGAGTCTGTGAAAACCAGTCTCCCCTTCATCTTGTTTACATATTTGTGTAAACCAGTAAACCAATAAACCAATCTCCCCCTGCCCTATTTACATATTTGTGTAAACCAATAAACCAATCTCCCCCTGTCCTGTTTTCTTAGCAATTCTGTAGGAACCAAACTGTTAGCATTTCTCACAAGTCCATCAGTTCTCTCTATGGAGATGGATAGCATTTTTTCATCATGAGTCTTTTGGAATTGTCTCTGGTCTTTGTTTTGTATCAATCAGGGTAGCCAAGTCTTTACCAGTTGATCATCATTACAACATTGCTGTTACTGTGCACAATGATCTCCTAGTTCTTCGAACTTCAGTTTGCATCAGTTTATTTAGGTCTTGTCATATTTTTCTGGAGCCAACCCCTTTATCATTTCTTATGGCACAAGAGCATTCCATCATAATCATATGCCACAACTTGTTCAGCCATTCCCCAACTGATGGGCATCCCCTCAGTTTCCAATTCTTTGCTACCACAAAAAGTGCTGTGCATTTTGTACATTTTTCTTTGATCTCTTTGGGGTCCAGATTTAGTAGTGGTATTGCTGGATCAAAGTATATGCACCATTTTATAGCCCTTTGGGCACAGTTCCAGATTATTGTCCAAAATAGTTGGACCAGTTCCTCTACTCCACCAGCATTTATTAATGTACCTATTTTCCCCTTATTCCTTCCAGCATTTGTCATTTTTGATAGCTGTGAGGTGGTACCTCAGAATTGTTTTAATTTGCCTTTCTCTAATCAACAGTGATTTAGAGCATTTTTTCATATGGCTATGGATAGCTTTCATTTCTTCATCTGAAAACTGCCTGTTCATATCCTCTGACCATTTATTAATTCAGGAATGGTTACTATTTTTTATAAATTTATTCCATTTCCTTTCCATTTGAGTAATGAAGCCTTTATCAGAGAAATTTGTTGATTTGATTGATATTTCATTGTTTGTGGTACCTTTTAGCAAAATGTAGTTTCCTTTTAATTTTAGTTTTTTTTTTTAAATTAGGTCTCTTTTTGCTTTTGCTTTGTCTGAGATTGTGATTGCTAGCCCTGCCTTTTTTTTTTTACTTCAAGTAAAGCATAATAGATTCTGCTCCAGTCCTTTATTTTAACTATGTATATCTTTCTGTTTTAAATTCTGTCTCTTGTATATAAAATATTGTTGGATTCTAGTTTTTAATCCATTCTGCTACTGCTTCCTTTTTATGGGTTAGCTCTCATCCCATTCCCATTCCCAGTTACGATTATTAACTGTGTATTTTCTCTATCCCATATTCTTTTCTTTATTCTTCTCCTTCTCTTTTTATTCTGCCCCTCCTCAAAAGTCTGTTTTGTTTCTGACCACTGCCTCCCTTAATACAACATCCCCTTTTGTCATCTCCCCCCCAATCTCTTGTTCTCATCCCCTCCTAATTCCCTTTTGAGTAAAATAGATTTCTATTCCCAACTGAATGTATATAGATATTCTTCCCTCTTTGAACAAATTCTGATGAGAGTGAGGTTCAAGCATTGCTTCCCCCCTCCCCTGCCATTTTCACCTGCATTATAAAAGCTCTTCCTTGCACACCTATTTCACATGAGAAAAATTTCCCCCATTCTACTTCTCACTTCCGCTTTCTTTCAGTACATCCCACTTTCTCACCCTTACATTATATTTTTATTTTTGGAGATTATCCCAACATAATTGATTCACATTCATGCCCTCTGTCTATGAAGACTCCTTTTAACTGCCCTAATAATGATAAGGTTTGCAGGAGTTACATGTATCTTTTTCCCATGTAGGAATGTAAACAGTTTAACTTTATTGAGTACCTTATGATCCCTTTTTCATGCTTTCATTTTTATGCTTCTCTTGAGTCTTCTGATTGTCATATTTTCTATTCAGCTCTAGTCTTTTCATCAGGAATGCTTGGAACTCCTCTCTTTCATTAAATATCAATTTTTCCTCTGAAGGATTATACTACATATTAAGTTTTGCTGGGCAGGCTATTCTTGTTTATAATCCTAGCTCCTTTGCCTTCTGGAATATAAACTCTCTGCTCCTTTAAAATGGAGGCTACTTTAAAATGGAATCTTGTGTGATACTGACTTTGCTTCTTTTCTACAATATTTAAATTGTTTCTTTTTTTCCTGCTTGCAATATTTTCTCCTTGGCCTAGGAGCTTTAGATTTTGGCTGTAAGTTTCCTGGGAATTTTCATTTTGGGATCTCTTGTAGGAAGTGATTCTTTCAAATTCTATTTTACCCTCTGGATCTAAGATATAGGAACAGTTTTCCTGTGTAATTCATTGAAATATAACATCTACGCTCTTTTTAAAATTATGGCTTTCAGGTAGTTTAATAATTATCTGTCCTTGATTTGTTTTCCAGGTCAATTGCTTTTCCAATGAGATACTTTACATTTTCTTCTATCTTTTTTCCCCCCATTCTTTTGACTTTGTTTTGAGATGAATGAAAAGCTAGAGAGACAGAGTTTCTGTGTAATTAATAATCAATTTATTAATTAGGCTATTTGATGATCGACAAATTGATGGTCAGTGATTTTGCTTGGTAACCAAAGACCCCCTAACACATATACTGAATGCCTTAATGTACTTTTAGGAAAGGGGGTACCCCTGACAGGTGAAAATAACACTGATTGGTGAACAATTAATGAGGAGGTGGGCTAAAAGTCTTCAGCTCCTCCTGCTGAGAATGTGGCTTGAGGGGAAGACTCCAGTCATCTGGACATCTCTACTCAGGCCACTCTGGTTGATTTTCTCTTTCATGAGCTGGGTTGCCCTATCCAGTGGACTTTGGGGATGGAATTCATCTAGATTAAATTCTGTTGACACTCTAAACAGAAGTAAGGTCTCCTAGTTGGATAAGGTTCTGCCTAAGATTTCTAAGCATGTTCCCCAGAGCATTTTGGACTGTATCATCAGTCAGCAATGTCCTTCAGAGACTGACTGGCTGACTTACAGAGGCTGGTCCCTGAATGAGGAAGTAAAGAGAAAAAGCCTTAATCCTAATTTAATATTTGGTTATTAATATAATAGAAAAATATTACTTCTCTTAGTTTTATTTTTTTCATGAAGTCTCATGGAGTCACTAGTTTGCACTTGCCAAATTCTAATTTTTTAAGGAATCATTTTCTTCAGTGAACTTCTGTGCCCCTTTTCCCATTTGGCCAATTCTTTTAAAATTCTTTCCTTTAGTGAATTTTTGTACCTCTTTTTACCAAGCTGTAATTCTCTTTTCCTAATTTTCTTGCATCACTCATATTTCGTTTCCTTATTTTTCTTCTATCACTCATCTCTTTCTTTAACTCCTCCAGAAATTCTTACTAGCCTTGGGTCCAGTTAGTATTTTTCTTTGAGGTTTTGTTTGTATTCTTTCACATTGTCTTTTTCTGAGGCTTCCCTGCCACTGTAGAAGCTTTTAATGGTTCAAGCTTTTTCTGTTGTTTGCTCATTTTCCTAGCCTTTTTTTTGGCTATTTTTATTTACTACTATTAATTAACAATAGTTATTAGTAACAATAGATGCTCACTGATGGATTGACTCCCAGCCCTCACCCTTAGGGGCAGGGGCTGCCAACTTCTGGGCATGCTTAGAAACCGCAAGTCGTCAGAGACGCTGTGTGAGGTTAGGCTCTCTGCTTCACAGGGTGAGCCCTCCTGAGCATGCTCAGTAGCTTCGAGGTGGCCAGGGAGTGTGTCCGGACAAGAGGGATTTTTTTTTTTCTGTCCCTCCTGGAGGGGTGAGGGGAGCTACAGGGGGAGGGGCCACTCCCTTAGGCATGCTCAATGTTGGCGCCCCGCCCCTCAGGCATGCCCAGTAGCCGCAGGGCAGCTGCGCACGGAGGCAGGGCTGAAGGCGCATACGCCACCCTCCCTCATGCGCTCTCCCCTCTTTCCCTCTCTTCCCTCCCCCGTCACCGCCGTCGGAGGGGCGGGGCCTGGGCTGCGCGCAGAGGGCGGAGCCGGCCCCGCACGGGGGCGGAGTCGGGCCGGGCCGGGGGCGGGGCCTCCTCCGCGGCCCTGAGGGCTATCGCGGGGCCGCCCGAGCGGCCGGTTGTGCTCGGCAGACCTCGCGGCGGCAGCAGCAGCTTCAGCAGCCGCCGGCGGCCGCAGCCGGAGCCCCGGGGGTGCCAAGCGCGTCATGGGCGCCGGCTTCGCGCCCCAGCGCGCGCCCCAGGCAGCGGAGGCAGCGGCGGCGCCGGTCACGGTCACGGCCCCGGCGGGCCGCCCGGGGCCTGGGCATCGGGCCCCCCCGCAGCGCGGAGCCTGAGCCGCCCCCGGCCCGCCATGGCTACTGAGCCCCCCGCCCTGCGGCTGCGCCGGGCCGCCCCGGCGCCCGCGCCCCCCAGCCCGCCCCCGCCGCCGCCCTCGCCGCTCCTGCTCAACGGCTGCGTTCCGCTCTCGCACCAGGTGGCCGGGCACATGTACGGCAAGGACAAAGTGGGTGAGTGCGCCCCCGCCCCTCGCAGCGCGCCCCCCGGGCTCCGCGGCCCCGCCGGTCCGAGGAGCTTCCCCTCCCCCAGCCCGGATTTCCTCTTCGCAGACGGGAAGGGCCGGGCCTCGGGGCGCCCCCAGCCGCGGTGTCCTCTGGCTGGGCTGCAGGGGCCGGAGCCGCCCCTCGTGCCCAGTCTCGGGCTCCGCGGCCGCGGCGGCCTGGTTCCCGTGGATCCCCCCGGGGGCCGGACGACCCCGTGGGACCTCAGGCTGTGGACCCGAAGGGGCTTTAGCCTTGGTCTGGGGGGAGGCAGTGCGCCCACTCCTCAGAGACCACTTGGCTGCCCCGGGCCAGCGTCTGCCTTTGTCAGATGCAGGGCTGGGGTCGTAGGACTGGGGGCTGTAAAAGGGAAAAAATGTTAGAGTCGGAGTCCCGAAAAGCTAGCTGGGTGGCTCTGGACAAGTCACTTCACCTGCCTGCCTCAGTTTCCTCATCTGTAAGTCGAGGATAATAACAGCATCTACCTCCCAGGCTCGTTGCGAGGCTCAGATGAGAATATATATCAAGTGCTTTTCTGGCCTTGAAGTGCGCAATCAGTGTGGTTGTTAGGACAGAATTATGGGCATGGTGCAGGTCCGTTGGGGCTGGCAGCTCCTCCTAGGTGAGGGCTCTGTCTTTGCCTTTCTTGGCATCCTCAGTGCTTAGCACACCACCTAGCACATAGTAGGCGCTTTCTAAACGTCTATTGAGTGACTGCTGTGACATGAAGAGGTTGGATCGTAGGATTTTGTGCAGGAGACTTCTGACCTCCATCTCCTTCATGGTAAAGGTTAAGGAAACTGAGGCTCAGACAGGAGCACCTCTGGTTCAGCTCCCTTGTTTTGTGGCTTGGGAGCCTGAGATCCAGGTTGGGGATGAGGATTTCTGTGATCTCAGGGTGTAGACAATAAGGATTCAAGAGCGCTTGCCTGCTCTCAGCCAGGCACTGTGCTAAACACTTTACAAATTTTATCTCATGTGACCCACACAACCCTGTTATGATCCCCATTTTACAATTGAGGAAACTGAGGCAGATCAAATGACTTGTCCAGGTTCACACAGCTTGTAAGTGTCTGAGGCTAGATTTGAACTCGGGTCTTCTTGACTCCAGGCTCAGTGCTCTAAGCTGCTCCCCCTAAATCATCTAGTTCAGATATTTTACACGGGAGGAAACTGAGGCCCCCAGAGGTAGAGTGTTTTGACTTGGAAAATGGAGGTAACTTCCCAGTCTTGGGGTATCTGTGCATGAAGTAGGGGAGAGAATTGCCCCGTTCTCCCTCAGAGAGGAGGGGGTGGGGAATTGAAATTCTTGTCCTAGTTGTGACAGACAGGAACTTCCCTTTACTGGGCTGGGTAGGGAAGTAGGCTCAGTTCAAGCCCCAGAATGAGCTGCCTGGGCCTGGGTTGGGATGCCTTTCGGCAGCTGCATTGCTGGAGGGGGGCCCTTTTTTTGGGGGTTTGTTTTTGTTTTTTAAGTGGGGTGAGTCAGCCTTATCTTGACTTCTCCAGTTTTTTTCTTCCCCTCCACCTCCTCCTTTTCCAGGGTATTCTTAGTAGAGCCTTGATTTTCCCTGTAGGGGTAGCCAAGGTGGTGAAAGAAACCCCAGTTTGTAATACCCCCCTCCTTAGGTAACATTTACTGCTGTGGGTTGGCCAGGAGGAAGAGAATGAAGGTCTAATCAAAGGGCTTGTTCTGCTTCTGACAAAGCAGGACCACATTTCATTTAATCCCTTTTTGTCTGACACTTTGACTTTCCCAGTCCAGAATTATACATTGTTGTTTCCTCTGGGGAAAGGTGGGAGTAGTATTATAATGATGATTATTAAAAGAAACAATGTCAATGTATTTAAAAGTAGCAACTTCCCTTGCTACCCCCTCCAAGTTCATTCCTCAGTTAGTGATGGATTTTGAAGCCTGAATAGTCTTGTGAATTTAAAACTTTTTCCTGTGTAGCATGATTCAGTTTATTCCTTTTCCACATGGCCTTTGTTATCAGAAAAAGCTGAATTTTGTAAAGGTTGTCAGTTCTTGCTTTTCCACTCTAAGGTTGTCCCTGCCCAGCTAGCTCTGTTGTGCTTAGGCACCCAGGCCTGGGGCGGGGAGGGGGGAGAGGCTTGTTTAGAGAATGATTATGGATCTGGTAGAGTTGTAGAAAGGTAGAATTGGACCCCACTTGAGAGGTGACTGCAGACATCTGCAGCAAACCCCTCCAAGCCTGTGATCCTTGAATGTAGGTCTCAAGCAGTTTGCCTGAGTGTCAGCCTTCCACTTGGAGGGTGGTCATTGAAAAGAGAAGGTGGCTGTTGTTTGTCTTTCTTTCTGGAAGAGGACTCTGACATTGGGAAGGTGATGTCATGACTTGCAAGTGAATTAGATTGAAGTGAGGCAGGGCTGTGCAAAGTCACTAGCCTCACTTTCTTCTCCAGAGCTATCTGGGTCCAGTGGCAAATTACAGATCAGGATGACTGGAGATGGCCCCCAGGCAGAGGGAGACCTTGCAGGTCCCAGGCAGTTTGAGTGTCAGCCTTCCACTTCTAAGGTGGTCATAGAAAAGAGAAACTAAGTGGCTCATGTGGGTTGAACCCCTGACCTTGATCACTTTATGCAGCTGGTTAAATCAGATAAGCTAATCAACTCTGGAGGAAGGCAGAGGCATGAAAAGCCCAATTGCAGATCATAATACCAAGTCAGATTTGGAAGGCAGCCCGATGTTTTATGTAGGCTAATTAATTAGACATTATTCCCAGAGCATGTACTGCCAGGTAATGGGACTGGGGGTGGGGGATGCTAGAAAGGTGTTGATTATAGAGGCTGTACTGGCTATCTCTGAAGGGGCTGCTGAGAATCCATATACAGGTGAATGGTGACTAGAATTTAACAGAGAAAACTAAGACTTCTGGTTCAGTTTATTATGGGATAAATCAATTATTAGTTTGAATTCTTCTGTAAAAAGGGAGCTCTGTCTTACTGGGTTGGATCTTGTAGTGATGGCCATTTTAGTAGTTTGTATATTGTTTCTCCCATTAGACTTGTGAGCTTTTTGCCAGCAGGGACTATCTTTTACCTTTGTATTCTCTGAGCTAGTACAGTGCCTGGCGTGTATGTAGCAGGTGCTTAGTAAGTGCTTGTTGACTTGTTCATTCGGCTCTAGAATGAAGACTTGCAGTGGTAAGCGTGTTGTCCCTGGAGTCAGAATCCACCTCAAACAGTAGCTGTGTGAGCCCTGCAGGTCATCCACCTATGGGCCTCCACTTCCTCCTCTGTAGAAAGATCCCTGCTGCCTCTGATTCAGTGATCTGTCCTCCCAAGTGAGGCAGCGACTTCATTTTGGACCAGTTCGCATTCGGACTTTCCATCTGGTGAACCCAAATCTGCCTCTCCATTTGTTCTTAATTTTCTCCTTTGGCGTTAAAGAAAGCTGAGCTCTTCTTTAGACTTGAAGGCAGCTGTCATCCTGTCCCTTGTTAAGGTTCTTCTTCAGGCTAAACATTCCCAGTCTCTTGGGTATAGTCTTTTAACCTCAGTTCATAGCAGAAGCAAATTACTGCAGCTGCTTTGGGATGTAGTATGCTTCACTTACATTAAAGAACTAGAAACTTGTTTCCATTCCATCTGAACTTTTGTACTAAAGGCTAAAATTCTCCTCAGATTCCCTTCCATTTAGCCTACAGATAGCTTCTGTGTATTCAGTTACTTTTTTATGTGTTGGTACCCATCCCCCCCCAAACCCTTAGCAAGCACCCAATAAATACAAGCTTGTTGACTGACTATTAGATAAAACTGTTTTGTCTTCATTAGGAAGGTATCTTCTTGATGAATTGGAAGGCATTTGAAAAACAGGACCTGCTTTAATAGCTGGTTTTTAGTGGCTTGAGCTCAGGCCAGAACAGTCTTAGTCTTTGATACTTAATGGAGAATATACTAGGCTCAGATTTTCCTTTGTTTCTGTCCCAAACTTTGTTATAGTTTTACTTGTGAAAGACAAGATGGCATTTTTTCTTTGTTTTAAAATAATAGGTCTTATGTATTCAGGTTTGTGTCATACTTCTGAGTTTTAAAGAATCTTCTGAAAGAGATATCAGCGTGGCCTGGCCACAAATCTCAAACTTAAACTGCATAGCTTGGAGCTGTAGCCAAAGAGAGGGTGAATATGCCTATGTGTCCCCATCCTCAAAGAACCCTCCATTGCTGCTTGGCTGTGGTCCTGTCAATCTTACTCTGGGGGCTTACCTTCTTGTATGCTGCAAGACATACCTCTGATTTCCTCTCCTCACTTCTTAACATCTTTGCAGTCTGGCTTTCAACCTTATCGTGCAACTGAAACTGCTCTTTCTAAAGGTACCAATGGTCTCTTGACAAGTCTAAGAGCCTTTTCTTAATCTTCATCCTCCTTGACCCCTCCAACTTTTGACATTGTCAGTCACCTTCTCTTTTCTCGATATTCTCTTCTCCAGGATTTCAGGACACTACTCTCTCCTGTTTTTCTTCCAGCTTGTCAGACTGCTCCTTCTCTGTCTCCTTGACTGGATCTTCATCTAAGGCTATGTCTGCTAACAGTAGAGATCCTCCAAAGGTCTATCCTGGGCCCTCTTCTCCCCTCTATGATGATCTCATCAGCCCTCCTGGTTTAAATTACCATCTCTGTTCACATGTCTCTCAGTCTGCTTGTTGGGCCCTAACATCTCCCCCAAGCTTCAGTTTCCAGTTGCCTAGTAGACACCTTGAGCACATCTGTAATTTCACATGTCTAAAACTGAATTCATTGTCTCTATTCCAAAGCCTTCCCCTCTTCCTAACTTACATATTGCTGTTTGAGGGTACCACTCTCTTTCTAGTCAACCAGACTCACAACCTAGTGTCATCTTTGACTCTTAACTCTTTCTCATTTGCTCTGGCTAATCAGCGCTCATACATACCCAGTAAGCTTTTGTAACATCTCTTGTATTTGCCCCTTTCTCTCCTTTGACAC